CCGAACAACCTCTCGCGCCAGATCAATTACACCAGCCAAGTCTGGGTCGGGGGCGGGAGGACACAGCAAACGAAGGCACTCCAATCCAATCTCCACATCCCTTGTCGCCAAGGACAGGTCAAGCTCAATCTCGTGACGCTCCTCAGGCGCAAGTTGCACCTTCCGTGAACGAAGCCTCTCGCGAAGACGCGACTGGTCAGCCAAGCCTCTGGAGAATGCCACCTCGCCGTGAAGAAGATACTTCGCCCGTACGCGTTTCTCAATTGGCTCGTCTATGTCTTGAAAGGCCTCAGCTGACCGCTTATTTAGCTCTCGAGCGGGGGGGGAACTGTCTGGGACTGAGGAGATTCTGGAGAAGACTTCTCCGCTGCAAATGGCGAAACAGAGGAAGGGCCAACCTCGTGGTCAGTAAGGGCAACCACCTCAGGAGAAGCAGAAGAAGGGGGAGTGACAACGACGGCAGGAGCAGGAACAACGGCAGGAGTAGAAGAAGAAGCAGAAGCAGGAGGAGTGGTAGGGGTCGAAGGAGTGATAGGAGAGTGAGAAGTGACAGCAGGACGCGACTCTGGAGACGTGCCCAAAGACAGACTTAAGCTCTTGTCTGAAGAGGGAAGCATTGTCTTGGTGGAAGTGGTTGGTCTTGGGCAAGGAGGAACCTCGTCTTTCTTAATAACAGTGCGGGCCATGATGACGATGAAGTAGTTCAAGCAGGGCAAGGAGGAAGGAGTTGCGAATGAAAAAAAAAAAAGAAAAAAAAAAAAAAAAAAAAAAAAAAGGGAATGGAGGAATGAACCAACATTTATGTCCATGGCAACATCATCATGTGGAAGTAATGGCGTGATCACGGATCAAAATGATTGGCCGAAGAAAGAAAATTTTCCTTGGTCGATGCCAAGGCGAACCAAAGGGTGACAAGAACAATGATGCAATGACCAAAATGCGGGGTAGCAAGAGTCAAGGTGGTAGAAGCGCAAACAGCACAATGAGTTTCTTTCTTTTTGAGCTGCGGCTTGGCGGAGCCGAACTTCGCAGCTGGTGGGGGTGTTGGTTTTAGTTTTAGTCACGTGTAGAGGGTTCGCCACCAACTATTTAACGAGCAACAGCTCAGGAAAATCTGGCTCCTTGTTCCTTATTTTTACACAAGAGCCATTTGAGTACTGACTGTTCTCGTCCAGGTAAAGAGCCCTCACAACGTTCGTCGTTAGTAGCCATAGATCATTAAAGGTTCCTTATTTTTCACAAGAGCCATTTGAGTACTGACTGTTCTCGTCCAGTCTTCGGTGAGTGTGTGTGTGTTCTTTTATTGTGTTAGAATTATTTATCTATCAGCTGGAAGTGACCGGCTTCATAATCCACCAAAACGACCTAAATCTCCTACCACATCTGCCCCTAAATTTTGCAACAATATCATCCGTCAATTTTCATATGCTCGCAAGGTGGAGAAAGAGAAAACTCTTACGGGTGGAGGGATAACCATCCTCAAAGATATGCAGGGTCATATATCATACAACAACAAGAGCACGAGCCACAATGCAACAAAGAGAGAAAGGGTGTGACGCGACTAAAGTAAAAGGACAGGATTCAGAGCACAAGCTTATCAACACTCGCATACCCTTTTTCGCCAGCAATTAAGCTCGAGTACCTTTTTTTCTTTAGCAATGGGGTTCATCAGGCACTGTCAGTAGAGTTTGCTATTTGACTCTCTTCTCCCATTCTTTCTCTTCATCCTTAACAAAGAATAGGATCATTGTCGTGGGAACTGTGCTGCGGCAGTTTTTGTTCAAACAGACATTTTTCCTTTTTTTCTTTTCCTTATTTTCCTTTTCAAAGGCCAAGAGATACGACACGTCATTCCTCGATACGATCGTGTGCCTTTTACTGGTCGATATATAAACGTTGATATTTGTTTCACTTCAAATCTTAATGTATTCTACATTGTATTGCATGAAAATAAAAAATAAAATAAAAAAAGGCGGAGAGGTATTCTGAACGAATTCATGTGTTATTTTCCACCACACCTGGAAAAACGGCAAGCTGCCAAAGTACAGGCCCAACGACAGTCTATCCCATCTCTTGTTAGGAGTGAAGAAATGAAATAGAAGAAGAGGATAAAGAAGATGATCCCCTTTATCAATAAGAGTAAACAAGCTCGAGAGCAATACAGTTCATGCTCTGGTTGTTTATAGACAGGTTTTCCTTATGAGTCTTGAGGACAGAGCATTATTCCCACTTTCAATCGTGAGAGTCTCTTCTTTATCATATGAAATATGACAGATGACATCAAAGACACGTATATTATTTTATTTTTTATTTTGTTGTTGATATTTTATTGGTCGCTCTTGAGCGTACAGCAAGCAAGGTACTTAGTATAGCGCGCTTTTAAAACCAATCACTCCTCGGCCCTTCTCCTCTTGCGCGAACGTTAATAATAATAATAAGAAACCAATATAAAAAGGACCCATTTGACTCTTCTTTTTCTTCTTTTCTCTTCTCTTTCTCCTCGGTCTTCCTCGACCATCGGCCTCCTCAACCAAGACAAAAGGTAAGCAACACTCCCTCTAAACAATCACTCTCACTGAAGTTCTCAACACTGTCACTCTGTGCTTCACTGTCCTTGTTCTGATTATTCTTTTTCTGCTTGTGTCTCTCTTTTCATTCCACGATTAGACTGCAACGACATGAAGCTGCCTAAAGCAACTGGGGCTTCATAACGCACAGCCAGGCTGCCACACTCAGGCGCCCATACTCGAACGGCTGCACTCCAACGAAAAGCCGTATTCAACTGGCCACGCTCCGAATGCCACGCTCTAAACAGCCACGCTCTAAACGGCCTCATAGTCTACCGCAGTCGAACGACGGCCTTCTCCGCGGCCAAATAGCCAGCCCATCCCATCTCGGGTATGATGGCCAAGGCTTCACGAAACAACACCAAATACATAGCGACCAGGCCACTTCTCATCGTGTGGTCTGGAAGGCACTGGTAACGAAAGCTCGGCGCCACCAGCAAAAGGACTAAACCAAAGAAAGGTCGAACAGTCCATCCAGGCAAAAACAAGCGCCTCCGGAATCAAATCCTCAAAAAAAAAAACTAAGAAAAAAGAAACCAAAAAAAAAAAAAAAAAAAATCCAAAGAAAAAAAGAAAAAAAAAAACCAAAGAAAAAAGAAAAAAGAAAAAGAAAAAAAAATAAACCAAAAACCAGAAAAAAAAATACCAAGAAAAAACAATTAAAAAAAAATTAACCAAAGAAAAAAAAAAACCAAAAAAAAAAGACTAAATAAAAGCCAAAAAGAAGCAAAAAAAGATCTCATATCAGAAAAAAAGAAAAAAAAAGCCAATTAAAAAATCAAGAAAGCCAAAAAAAAAAAAAAAAAAAAAAAAAACCCTTACTAACACAACACAAAGCACTTTTTAAGCATAGCAACAATGCACATCCAAGGTGCAATAACCAATGCATATCTAAGGTAGGTCCGAACGGGCATGAGCCTGAGCTGGTTCTTTAACGAGCCTTGCGATGGCGGAGCCCCTTCGGTCCAGAATGGGAAAGGGAAAGGGAATGGAATGGGATGGGAAGATGGGGATGGAATGGGTAAATAAATGTGTGTGTGTGCGGGCGTTTGCAAGGCCATGGGGCCTGACCAACGGAGCACGATATGCCAGACCACCTCCACGTGGTGTGTCCGGACAACATCTTGGAGAGTCTTTTCGATGGTGACAAAGAAAAGCGCTTTCCAAGGTGGCTAAGAGTCTGGCTTCTTGTAGCTTAGGATAGTAACCAGGTAAGCTAGATAGCTAGATAGCAAGCAATCTCTTAATAAAAAGTATTCACACAAAAAAAAAAAAAAAAGCTTTAAAATGCAGTCTCCGAAAATTGAAAATTTAGTAGAGGCGGCATTGCTTAGATGATAGGAGGGTGAATTATTAATGTACTGCTCCGAAAATGAGGGGTTCTGGTGCCTATTGTTATGTTATGAACAACTGGCTTTGGAAGAGAGGCTTCAATATATATATATATATTGAGAAGCACTTCCTTGGACTCTTCACCATGGAAGCACTTCTATTGTCTCCTGCACAAGTATAAATAAGGAGCACCATGGAGCAATACTCAAAGTAAGCACTATCTTGCTGTGTGAACCGGCAACCTGCACTAGGCGGGATGGTGGGTACTCCTTGGTGACACACAGCTCCAATCCTTATGTCAGTCATCATCAAAATGTTTGCACCTCATTTACCACCAAACCTTAAAGTGTTTACATTGTCCAACAGACACCATTTTGCTATTCTTGCATTCTTGTTTATTCGCTGAATATCCATGCATGATTTCTTGGGTAATCTCACTCGTCGCCACCATTTCTCCTTATCTTGTTTGAAAGCGGACATAATTATCCGAATATGGCAATAGTCGGTTGCTTTAAAAGCAAAAGCATCTTCCTCCACAGGGAGGGTTGATGTCATTACATTGTCACATGAAGCAAAAGGAATAATGTACGTGAAGGTAGGGAAAGCATTGAAAGAGGGATAAATAAATTTAATGCGAAGAATTAAATACAATAGTAATGAAGGTGTTGAATCAAAAGTATTGAAGGCCCTGAAGGCCCTGCAGAGCTTGGATATAATATTTTCCTCGACACACACGTTACATACTTTTTACGTGTTGCTTGTTGTTGCTCGCTCAACAAGATGGTCATAACAAAAAATAAGGCAGGCTTACCTTTGGGACATGGGCTAGAAAGGTGATGGGCTCCATGAAAAGCATCTACCAGATACTGTAGCAGACCTGAACACACTGTATTACTTTCAATCAGAAACTAGAAGGCACTAGAGTCTATGACAAGCCTGGATCCTTGTCTATTATACTTTTAGAAGCGATAAAAAGAGAGAAGAGCGAGATGTAATGAAAAGTGTGGCTACACCCAAAGATGCATGAAAAATTAATGCATCTTTCTCTATCAATTTTTTTTTTGTTCCTTAAGAAAAATGCGACCGCAAAAAAAGCATACAATGTGTAAGTCTGGGGTCAAAAGTCTGGTGTGAGTAGTGTCTACTCATAGTCATTAAGTTTAAATACCTTCGATGCTTTTTGCTTCGTTCTTCTCAGTGTCGTATCACTTTCGCTTATTACGTCAACAAATGCGAAAATTGTCGCAATGAAAGGCAACGGGATCGCTTCCGGGCTGTCCAAGCCGACAGTTTTCCATCCACCCTTTCTTTGAATTTCATGCTGTTTCAAAATGGCGTCCAATCACTTTCATTTCGCCTATATTCGGATAATTATGTCCGCTTTCAACAAAGATAAGGAGAAATGGTGGCGACGAGTGAGATTGGGAGAATGACGCTTTTCTCTCATTTTTAAGCTCGCTCTTTCTTTTGTTTTTTTTCCTCTTCCTTTCTCTCACTTCTCCACCTCTTCACTTCTCCACCTTCTTACCTCTCCGCTTCTTCACTTCTCCACCTCTCCGCTTCTTCACTTCTCCACCTCTCCGCTTCTTCACTTCTCCACCTCTCCGCTTCTTCACTTCTCCACCTCTCCGCTTCTTCACTTCTCCACCTCTCCGCTTCTTCACTTCTCCACCTCTCCGCTTCTTCACTTCTCCACCTCTCCGCTTCTTCACTTCTCCACCTCTCCGCTTCTTCACTTCTCCACCTCTCCGCTTCTTCACTCTCCACCTCTCGCTTCTTCACTTCTCCACCTCTCCGCTTCTTCACTTCTCCACCTCTCCGCTTCTTCACTTCTCCACCTCTCCGCTTCTTCACTTCTCCACCTCTCCGCTTCTTCACTTCTCCACCTCTCCGCTTCTTCACTTCTCCACCTCTCCGCTTCTTCACTTCTCCACCTCTCCGCTTCTTCACTTCTCCACCTCTCCGCTTCTTCACTTCTCCACCTCTCCGCTTCTTCACTTCTCCACCTCTCCGCTTCTTCACTTCTCCACCTCTCCGCTTCTTCACTTCTCCACCTCTCCGCTTCTTCACTTCTCCACCTCTCCGCTTCTTCACTTCTCCACCTCTCCGCTTCTTCACTTCTCCACCTCTCCGCTTCTTCACTTCTCCACCTCTCCGCTTCTTCACTTCTCCACCTCTTTATCTTTCCACCTCTCCACCTCCCCACCTCTTGAAAAGTAAGTCTCGATCGCAGTCCTTTGCCAAATACATTCACACACAAGCACGCACGCACACACTTTTTCCGTCTCTCCCTGTGACTCTTTATGTCCATCCCTAACTCTCGCTCAACTACGACCGTTGCCTTCTCTTGCCGTCACTACTTTATACTAACCTACATACTTTTTGTCTCCATACTATACCAAAGGCAAAATAGCCCCAAGAGCGGTAAGCAACGAGGAAACGATGTAAGAGAAAGTAAGGTAAGGAAGGGAAGCGGCAAGTAACCAACAAAAGAAAGAGAAAATAAGAAAGAGAAAGGAGCACTGAGAAAGAGCGAATGAAAATAAACTAAGGAAGAGAAGCACATAGGAGGAGTAAGTGAAAGCAAGTGAGAAAAAAAAGAGAGAGAGAGAGAGAGAGAAAGGAGGAGGGAAAGTCGAGAAAGAACAAACGGAAGCATAGCAAAGAAGTAAAGCGAGGGGAAGAACAAACAAAAGATATGTAAGAAATGCCGGCGCCTATAAATGAAAATATGATAAGAAAGAAAAGCAAAAGGGAAACAAATGTAAGATATGGCAAGGAAAGGAAGCACTGAAGAAAAGAAAGAAAAAAAAAAAAGAAAACAAAAAAAAAAAAAAATGGAAGCACACAATGAAAGCAAATAGAAAGAGAAGCACAGAAGGGAAACAAACGAAAGTATAAAAGTAAACAAAACACACACATACACGCACACAACAGAGAAACAAAGGAGGTTATAATAAAAAAGGACTATAATAAGAAAAGGGAGAAAACAAATGAAAAACAACGTAAGAAAGCGAAGCATCGAAGGGAACAAAGGAAAGGATAACTCGAAAGTGAAGCGTCGAAGAGAAGCACATGAAAGTATATTTAAAAAGTGAAGAGCCAAGGAAAACAAATGAGGAAGTGAAGCAGCAAGAAAGAAAGCATAACAAGGAAGTGAAGCAGCAAGAAAGAAAGCATAACAGGAAGTGAAGCATCGAAGAAAACAAAGGATAGCATAGTAAAAAGGTGAAGCGTCGAGAAAGCAAATGAAAAATAACAAGACAGCGAAGCAATGAAGGAAAGCGTAATAGAACTAACACGGAAGAGATGCGCCCAGGAAAACATAGAAAAGGATAACAAAAGTGGAGTACCGAAAAAGAGATGAAGGCATAACAGGAAAGTCAAGCATGGAAGAAAGAAATGGAAGCGTAGCAACCAAGTGAGGCATTGAAGGATAAAGTATGGAAGCGTAATAAGGAATTGAACCATCAAAGGCTAACAAGAAAGTGAGCACCAAAGGATAACAAAAAGTAACCATCAAAGGATAACA